CGAAATCATGCCTCTATTCGCTTGCAATTCACAATAAACTTCCTAAAGCCACAGTACAATACTTTAATTACAATGTTCGAGCTGATACAATCAAGGAAAATCTCTTGGAAGAGGTTCGAAGCATTCATCATGACTGGATCTGAAACCAGTTGAATCGAGTCTGGCCATCACTATATCGGATCACGCTATCGATGCCAAAAATGTCAAAATATCAAAAACTAAGCTAACCTTATGTATTAGAAGGAGCTTAAACGTGCTATAATATTATATTCTTGGAATATCTTACCTTAATTTCACTCATTATTAACACGGTGCTATATCTAAATGGACACTACCGCGACAGACTTTGAAAACAATGAAGAATGCGTGACATAAACACAGGAACCCCAAACACCGCGTAATCACTCTTGTGTTCTACCAAAAAGAATGCGTTTTATTTTGTTAAGTCATCTAGTTGACAAAGTTAATGAACTATTTAGTTTTTACGTGTTTCTATTTGTAAAAAATATTTGTTCAAAATTATATTTTGTTTTTAAAAACATTCTAGCTGCGCAGTCATTCCAGAAGAAAGTGATTGTAAAGCGTAAATATCTTAAARCAAAGCAGTTATGAACTTCTATAAAAAGTTATTATTAAAAGCAAAATAAATTCACATTATTTATCAAAGTGGTTGTCATGTTTCATATAAAACATAATTCCAAAACCTTTGCCTGGACGAGAAGTCCGGGATGTCTCTACGTTGTTGCTTCTCAGTCTACATAGTTAATGGTCCTTGATTAAGACGCAGGTGAGAAAGGCATACTATAATTCTTGTTTTTGTCGGTCTACTTTCTTTGTATGCAATAGTAGAAATCACCAAGCATTTAGATTTACAACAGAGGTTCTTTTAAAGAAGTATCATTCGATAAGATTGGACAGATCCTAAAGATTGAGCATGCTTTGAGGAAATTAGGTAAGTGACAAGTCTTGACTAACGTTAACTTGTATTGAGATGCACATGTTAAAACAGAATAAAAAATTAAGCCCTGACATATATTTTCAGGGGTATCGTCGAAATTTTGTGGCGAGCATCCGCATTCCCGACAACACATTTGTCTCTCTTTCTTTCCTGAACTCAAAGATTTCCAACATGTAAGGTAAGCTGTAAAGTCTTGCTACGGTTGTTACGACATGTAAGGGACAGGTCAAAAATTAGAGGGGGGGAGGGGAGGGCTGGTGCAAAGGGGGCAGGGTCATTATTCAAGTCAGAACCCATTCAAAATAATTAAAACTAGATTAACGGATATAGAAATTCAAGTCTGGCAAGGGGAACTCTTTAACGATGAAAAAACTAGAAGAGGCCCACCAGGCCAAAAAAATAAATTAAGGACATATAGTCTGGTAAAAAC